TAGTTTAACAAGATCCGCATCTAAAATTGTGGCATAGATACGTTATTTTCCCCAGTTTCAAATTCGTTTATTATTATTTTTTAACCGCAAGCCGTTATCGTCACGGAGGAGAAGGACACACACAAGCTAGCTGTGTCCCAATTCAACGGCCGCATCCTCCTGAGGATGCATTCGGAGACCGCATACGTCACTTCCGCCAAACGAAGGCTGTCCCAATTAAAAAAAAAGACAAGACTCCTCCGAATGCGGCCCGCAAATGCAGCCTTCTTTCCCCAGATTTAGAGGATACATCTGATGTACACTCCGCGGTGTACCATATCCCAGGATGCAACGGGTGACGGTGACGAATGAGTTTAAAAAAATATATATAAGGCTTGTAACGTCCCATCAACGGCTACAACGGTTTCAGCTGGATTCGTTTTTAAATGTACTCACCCAAATAGTAAACGACATGAAAGAAAAGTAAACCTATTTAATTTGTGTATTTAAATATACGGGCAATTGGAGATGTCTTCTTTATATTACATACATAAAATAATATGAAGTGAAAATATTTCTAAACCCTGTTTGTTTTTCAAATTGTTGGGATTCATTATAAAGCTAATTTATTTATTTAACTGCTTTTGTTATACAAATCTTACTGCAACAATTTTGTTTTGATAGGGAGCAAGGAGCAGACTGCGCAATTTATCCAGATGCGCGGGGAGAATGAAGCCCTCTTCACGGGGGCCTGTTGCGACCTCGGGAAAATAATTTAAACATAACACCAAAATAAGTACAGCTAGATCTGACTCCATATTGAACAGTTTTGAAAACAGTTTTGAAAACAGTTTGAAAATATTTTGCCTAGTGTCAGAAATTATTACCGGCACTTGTGACTGCAGCTGGTTGCTAGGTGACGGGGGTGGCAAAATGCAAAATTGCTAGGTGACGGGGGTGGCAAAATGTTGGCTGGGTCCTCTGAATTGGGACACAGCTTATGAGCAGCACGAGGCTCCGGGCTGCATTTTGAATAAAGGATGTTTCCGGTCCTTTGTGTACCGCGGTGCTGCTGCTAGTGCAGCATCAACACGTTCATTAATAAATCAAAGGTCTGCATCTGTTCAGCTTTTATTGAATTTCGTACATTTTGGTCAACAAAGAAGTGTGTATTCCCACTTTAATGTGCATCATAATCTTATATGCTTCATCATGAATTCTTCTATAAAGAGCAGGGTTTATAATCGTACAGAGGCTACCATCCAATATATTGTAATCAGGAGGTAGTGATATTTTATAACAGAGTGCACTGTAAAAAAGGATTTGATCAATGAGTTACTCGTTTCTCTTTAAGCTCTCTTTCAACTTCGTTATATTTGAACTCAGCTTCATAAGCCATCACCTGTACATTCTGTCTATTTGTTTTAACCATAGACTATATATATATAAACAGATTTAACAGTTTCAACAGTTTCTCAGTTTTAACAGAGTGAGTTTTGACCTGGGTTGTTCTTAAACTTTTCATGGCCTGTCAGGCCATGACAGTGGCGATGACGTATTACTGCGCGTTGATAAAATAGTCCCGGATGTTTGGTCTTGAAGTAGTTTCATAACCCTAACCCAGGGACATGAGATGTTTGTAATGCTGTGAATGGGTTTCAATGTGTGTCATTCTGACTCCCCAGGTTTTGTCATTATAAGTTAACCACTACTTGGAAGCATCCCATCATGTTAGTCTATTAATGTAATGTAGCCTACTATGTATTTGTATGCTGCTGCAACTGCAAGGCAAGCATTTTCTAAATTGGGATCAATATAAAGTAGGCTGCATCTTATCTCTTATCTTATCGACTACAGTGCAGGAACACGAAAGATCGTCTATTGTCTGAAGTTGGAACCTTATACAGTCTATGGTCGGTACACAGAGGATTCCTGAAGTCTCGTTACTTCTGTGTTATGATCTCGCCGCCGGAGGTATCGCGAGAATTGTGTAGAGCGCCATTTAAAACACCTAAAGTCGTCGTAAGGGCAGCGACTGCGACCCGTTAACCGGACAGAGCGACTCACGGTCCCTCGGTGACCCACCCCCCACCAGGTAAGAGACCCGGGATCCTCATGGAGACACCCGGGAAACAGCAGCTGTGAAGCGGATCCGAGCCTCTGAGATCTCAGCCTCGTGTGCAGCGGCTAGCCGTTGGAGCTAATGTGGCTAACAGCTAATGTAGGCTAATCTCTGGGAGAAGTGCTCAGAGTATAAATAACTCATATATAAATATATGTATATAAAGAAATATGTTTAATACTTTGAGCAGTCTGATTGTAATCACACTACGTGTTATATTACCAGAGGTAGTAATCAGATCGGTTAGTAGAAGTACTCCGATCGTGTACTTAGCAAAAGTAGAAGTACACAGATCGTGTACTTAGAAAAAGTAGAGGTACTCAGATCGTGTACTTAGCAAAAGTAGAAGTACACAGATCGTGTACTTGAGTAGAAGTACTCAGATCGTGTACTTAGCAAAAGTAGAAGTACACAGGTCGTGTAGAAGTACGCAGATCGTGTACTTGAGTAAAAGTAGAAGTACACAGATTTTGTACTTAGTAAAAGTAGAAGTACATAGATCTTGTACTTGAGTAAAAGTAGAAGTACTCAGATCTTGTACTTAGTAAAAGTAGAAGTACCAGAGTGTAGGAATACTCTGGTACAGTAAAAGTAGAAAAGTATCAGCATATAGTAGCAAAGTAGTGATTGTGCAGATTGGTCCATTTCAGACTGTATAGTTTATACATTGAGTTAATGAGATTATATTATGACTCTTAATGTGTTTCTATCACAGTAAGTTGGAGCTAGTTTGAAGTCAAAGTCAACTTGTCCATCTCAAAATATGTTTGTACACACAGAAAGATCGAAATACACAAAGACTTTATAAACTGCTGCTGAATATCTTAACCTGTAATTAAATATATCAACGTTTATATGATAATCAATTTATATTTTGTATTGGCTAATAATCTAAACCCAGAAAGTAAAAAGTATCTACAAGCTGTCAGATCAATTGCAGTAGAGTAGAAGTAAACTAAGAATACTCACGTAAAGTACAAGTACCTCAAAATTGTACTTAAGTACAGTACTTAGTACTTACTACCCACCACTGTATAAAACTACCAAATTAAAGTTGAATTGACTTTAGTCAGAGCAAACTGAGTGTTGTTCAGTTCTACTAAAGTAACTTCTGTGTTTCTGTGTACAGCAGCGTGTGTTAATATGTAATAATACAATCTGAGGTGTTAGGGCTTCTGAGACACTGCTGTGTAACAGAAACTCAGGAACTGCGCTCTACCACACGTACTCTCAAACTAGGGCTGAGCGGTGTGACAAAAACCTCATATCTTTGTACATTATAACGGCATCACGGTATTTATTTATTCTTTAATGATTGGAAATGTATTTATATTTATATATTTTGGCCCCACTAAAAACCCCTGACCAGTGGAGGCCCTCAAGGGTCTGACGTGGTGACGGGATCACAACTACATTACATGTCATACTCAATACTGTGGGCAATCCCCACAGGAGCACTTTGGGGTGAAGTGTCTCAGGGACACAATGACATGCTGACTGCAGTGGGGTTTGAACCTGTGCTCCCTGATCCCAACACCAACGCTCTATCCACTGCGCCACACGCCTCCTCAACTACAAAGAGTAAACATTATACTGTGCTAACTTTGCGTACAACAAACAACAAAAGCACTGTTTGAAAATGTAAACAAACTACCTTCTCCGAGTGTACATTTAAATACTTCTCCTGGGGACTCCTTTCACTGTCGCACCGCTTGAGCGCCCTTCGACACTTATTCAACAGTCTTGCGGTTTATGAAAAATGAATATCACACGGTATAGAGTTCACGGTATTCTGTATGAAGCAATAAACCCCCCCTCTCCCCCCCCCTCCCCCAACACACTAAATATATTCAACTTGTTCATTCAAATGTCAACGTTTCACTGTGATGTTACTTTATCACTTTAATTAAAAAACATTTTGTTTTATAATTGAAATGTTTTACCCCGCGTGAATCCTGTTGCTGCTATAACGCCTGAATGTATTGCTACAAAGTTCCATCTCATCTTGTCTCTAATGTGTGTGTGCAGCATGGCGGAGGAGCTGGACGTGGAGGCGATGCTGGAGGCTCCCTACAGGAAGGTGAGATCTGATGATGATGATGATGATGATCGGTGCTGCTATCTCCTTGATTCAATATGGATCTGATGATGCATGTGTCACTGACCGATATGAGCCGAGGATAAACAGATTAAATTCATATTTCAGGGACAACACAATCAGAGGAGCTTTATTCGTCCCACAGCGGGGACATTTAGATTTGATACAGCGGGTAAAGAGCCAAAGACAGATTAGTACTAATTAAGAAACTTGCAGACAAATAGGAAAAATACACAGTTTACAAACTACACATCAGTAGCAGTGAGAGGTGAGGCAGCAGCCAGGTGGTGGCATTGCAGGTGGGAGTGTAGAGCACAGGTATTCACAGATTACAGAAGTTGAGTGGTCTAACTAAGGGACAGCAGCCAGTAGTAATAATAATAATAATAATAATAATCAATATTAGTACCTGTGGCGAGGCGACGTTAGCTTGTGTACAGAACAGTCTGTCAGCTTGAATCGTGGCTTTAGAGATGTCTGATGTTCTGAGGCCTCATTTATAAAGCCTTGCGTAGGATTGGCAACTAAATACGCACCGACACTTTCCGATTGATAAAAGACTGCGTACCGTCGCAGGACTTGCGTACGGCACATCCTACGCCGGTTTCCCTTTATGTAAACATTATATTTATGATATTCTTTCCACATATTTCTCTCCATTCTTTCTTCTGCCGTCGCAGTTTCTCGTCCCTCCCGATGTTGTGCTTAGTGCGTACGGATGAGTCAGAGTTTGCGTGGAGGGCCGCACGTTTTCCCGTCAAGTTTGTTTTTTATAAATCACAAACATTGCGTAGAAACTGGCGTTCGCCATATTTTGAGCGTACGCAGCGTTTTTATAAATCAGGCCCCTGGTGGTGGTCAGGTGTTGGAGACGGTAGATGTCTGATGTTCTTCTTCAATGTCCTCATGCTGCTCTCTGCTGACCTTAGGAGGACTCCAGGAACCAGAGCCCCAACGGAGAGGAGGAGCGCCCCAAGAGGTAAACTAACTAACTAACTAACTAACTACCTACCTACCTAACTAACTAACTAACTAACTAACTAACTAACTGCCTGTCTCTCTCTCTCTCTGTCCGTCTGTCTTCCTGTCTGTCTCTCTCTCTCTCTCTCTCTCTCTTTATGTCTATCTCTCTGTCTGTCTGTCTCTCTGTCTGTCTGTCTCTCTCTCTGCCTGTCTGTCTCTCTTCCTGTCTGTCTCTCTCTCTCTCTCTCTCTCTCTTTATGTCTATCTCTCTGCCTGTCTGTCTCTCTGTCTGTCTCTCTCTCTGCCTGTCTGTCTCTCTCTCTCTGTTTCTGTCTCTCTCTCTCTGTCTGTCTGTCTCTCTCTCTTCCTGTCTGTCTCTCTCTCTCTCTCTCTCTCTGCCTGTCTCTCTCTCTCTGTTTCTGTCTCTCTCTCTCTGCCTGTCTGTCTGTCTGTCTGTCTGTCTGTCTGTCTGTGAGTGTGTCAGGGGTGGAGGAAGTAAATCTCCTTATGCTTGGCTGCACTCGGCACTACTCT